CCGAGTTCAAATGGGTCCGAATCAAGGACCCGAAACGCTGTTGGAAGGTTCAAACCGCAATTTGAGTTACTAAACGGTCCTTGATTTTAATGAGCTTATACTCGAATCGAGCAACTCGACGAGACGAATCCAACGAGCCCAAGATCACCGAATTCCGACATCATTAAGCCCTTCAAATGTCCAACTAACGGTGCATGATCAAAGGATTCGATATCAGCCGTCCATTCAAACCACTCCCAATTTGCCCTTGATCTCACACCTATTTACGAGCCATACCACTCCAGAAAAACTATAAATAGAGCTCTCATTCTTCACAAAGGAGACTCAAGTGAAGAGTGAGAAGAAGAAGAGAAGAATGACGAGAAGGAATAAGCTCCTCCTCGACCACCGCCGGAGCTCTTCCTACCGCCCGAACATGTCGGGATTCTGCGTGATATTCAGGAGAATGCAGGAATTCTTCTCAACTTCCACGTGATGTTGAAATTCTTTCCAATTTGCAACAGAATTCTCTCCTGAAAGCAACAATTTTTAAATTTTTTATATTTGAAAGATTTTACACCTTTTACTTTAAGAAAAACATTATTATTTGTTATTTGGTGTTATCACGTGCATCTCTAACGAATCCAGTATTTTGATATTTTCCAATCTTCTCTTAAAAAACTAAGAGCCCGCTCAGCGTTAACTAAGCCGGGTGCTGCTGGGTCCCACGAGGGAGTCGGTTCCGCGTCCCATAAAGAAAATTAAGCTTAAAATGCGAACGTCATCTATAGCTGGCGCCTGGCATGTAACGGAATGCGTCCAGGAAACGCTACTTACACTCTTACAGCTGTGTATCCTGTGTGTTGCCCGTTATGTGGCTTCGTGTATGGCATATGGTTTCCGGTATGCACGTTCACGACGTAGTCGCGGCCAGTTGCTTTGCACTCTCTTCAACTTTTCCTTTTTATATTTTAGAGTAAATTATAAAATAATTTTAAGGTTGGTTACTTAATTTCTTTAAGTTTTATTTAAATATATAAAAAATAAGTTTTATGATATTCGAAGTTAGATTAATATATCATTTTTTTATAATATCCCCCCCTAAAGTTTTATTTAGATCTCCATTAATTTTTATTTTTTCTTAAACAAATATTAAAATATTCAATAAAATTTATATATATATATATATATTACCTCAATTTTAGAGCACACTTAATCTATAGCCCAAAGTTCAAGCCTCTTTGAAAAGTGGGGTCTATTTGCAAATCTCAAGAGTGATATTCTTTGTAAATATGAAGAAGATCATGGATAAATTTGAAGTGTTTCATCGAACAACTCATATTAATTCACTTAATTATGTAGTGTTTGTCAAAAATGCTATATTTAGATTCTTCTGATCGAATCGCTCAATTCGTCTATAAACATGCTATATTTAGATATCATTTTGTCATCCAATTTATGCACTAAAGACTCTAATATATGTTGTAATCCTTTGATTTGAACCCATTGGGGCTCAGATTATGCCGATTTTGATGTCGTTGAGTTTGTCTCATCAAGACCTTCAATTTGACTATAAGTTTGTTGAGATTGGAGTTTAGATTATCCCAAATTTAATTTCAAAAATTTTCAATTCAAATATGCCTCCCGATTCGTGCTGGATCAGAACAATTTTTGGTGATGTATCATATATTTTTTTGAAAAAAATGATAAAATATAATATAATTTTAAAATATATATCATAGTAAAGTTTATTAGTTCTTAAATAGTCCTTGATATGCTTTATACCCCTAATGATTTGCAGTTTTTGCTTTTCACATTTTATTTTTTTTTATGAGATTTTGATGCTTAGTTTAATTTTTTAAAAAAAATTTAAGGATGAGTGATGAATTATATTTTGAGAAACAACATTTTTTAATAACCTTAAAAAATGAAGTATTGCAACTGATAAATCACGGTATGTTTTGACAGAGCATAAGAGAAAATGGATTGGCTTCTTCCACTGTGCTATTTAAAGAGAGATTAGTTGAAGTAGGGGATTCTTTTTTTCTATGAAGAGAGAGAAATATGGATAAATGTTTGGATTAAAAAAGAAATTGGGGAAGAGTTAAGTAAGGTTGAGAATTTAGCTCTAATATTTGTGAAGATTAAATTGATTTTTGGCTTGAATCGAGTCCAATGAGACGAATTATGAGCCAAAATTTTAGCTTGATTCGATTTACGAGCCAATTCCAGCTGAGTTGGAATCGGATTGAGTTGGCTCGAAATAGTCTTGAAATATCTATAATACGCACCTTTTTAAAATTAAGGGTGCGTTTGGAACGTCTGCAGTTGTCGGTAAAGTAGGTTGTAACATTGTTGTACATAAAGTTGCTTTCAAAAATTATTGTACAGAAAGCAGTACATTTTGTTTGGGAAGTATGACTGTCAAGTTGTTGTGCTGCAGCTGTATAGAAATAAATTACCTTTATATCCTTATATATTGGGATATTCGATTGTTTGTAAGTGCAAGATTTATATATATCATTTGGTCCGCTAATAACTATCGGCATCATTTGTAACTGAAAACATATATTAGTGGAATATTTCAAGTAGGTCAAGCTTGTGCTTTTTTTTTTTTTTGAGAATACATGGGAGAAAGCTTGTCTTAATATCTCGAAGGTAAAGTGTTACATAGCAGGTGTATATATTGTAAAAGTGTAATCATGTGTGTGTAAGGGTATCCGTTAGCCACAGGCGGCATAGCAAAGGAAGTGGGAAAGTGATGTGCTGAGCTAGTCGGACTCATTTAATTAGGTGATGCCTGCGATATATGTTATATGGTCTAACACCTATAGCAGTTTCCCCGGTAACCCGCTCCACACCTTAGTGGTCAGGTGCGGATCAAGAATTAAGGAGATTGGTCTGAATCACACTAAAATCCACTCATCATAAAAAATAATAGCTGTTTTCATATTTTATTCCCTTGAAATCAATCGACATAAACCACAACAAGCCCAAGAGGAATCATTGGCATTCTCATATTCTTCAATACCAAAATTCTTAAGCAATTTTCTTTACAAAATAGAGAGATAAAGAGAGCAAGGGTAAGGTCATAGCTCACGGTCACCGAGCTTCTCGGGAACTGTAACCGATTCCTTGACGCAGACCTCAATGGCTGTTGGGAGAGGAGAATGACCTGATGGGAAGAAAGCGAAACCGCCCAAGAGGGCGGCATAGACGAGGAGCAAAGTAGCGGAGGTGGACACGATTGGGAGTGAAAGCAGTCGAGGAGCGGGCAAAGACGGAGGTCGTTGCCGCCACTCTCGCCGTTTCTCAACAACTCAAGGGTGCGGGGAGAGGAGGAAACCAGTGGATTAAGGGCGAGAGATCGGGGAAGGAATGGGAGGTCTGGGATTTGGGAAGGAGGATTAGGGAGATGAGAAACGGCGAGAGGAAACATGGAGGAGGATCCGATGTGAGGCCATGGAAAGCGAGAGCTAGGTTAAATGGCTGCTTACCCGAGATGGATGAGCTCGAGGAGGATGACGGTGGTAGTCGGAAGTGATGTTGAAGGCTTCGGAGAACGACGATAGAGAATATTTGCAGCGGGATTTACGTCATTTTTCTGCCGAAAGCAGCGATCCGCAGCGGAACCGCGGGAGACAGCGAATGGTCGCGGGAAGCAACTACGTGCCGCAAAATTTTTCTGCCGCGGTTCTGCCGTAATGTCCCAAACAACGATTTAATAAAAATTTTATAAAGTAAAGCAGCATAACCGCCGTCCCAAACACACCCTAAGTTTCATTTTAAAACAGCTTTTTAGTAGACAAAATTTTAAAAACTTTTTAAAAAATAGTGATAAAAATTTTTCCCAAATAAAATCTTAATATTTGTGCATTGAATATTTTTAAATATTAAAAAAATAGCTGGACTTAAATCAAACTGATTTAAGTTGAGTTAATTTGAAATCAAATCAACACAATTCATGAGATGATTTCTAGCTGGTTCATATAAGATATTCGAGCAATGTCTCAAAATTGCATCATTCATTAATTCTCATCCATAAAGTTATATGTAGAGTTGTCAAAATCGGGTCACGGGTCAAGTTTGGGTCAAATCTGGAACTAATTCGACGCTAGTTGACCCAATCCTTTTTTTGCATATAGGGTAGTTTTTCAACCCGAACCTGACCCGCTAAAGTTGTCTGGTTGACCTGACCTGACCCGCGGCAAATACAAGAGACGCGGGCAGACTCGACGCGACGCAAGCTGGGTAGACGCAACACAGACAGATTGGATTAGTGCGGGCACTCAACGCGACGGCGAGCAGACCGATCATCCCGTTTTTATCAGACATTTCGTGTACAACGGGTTAGAATTCTGGTCATTTCCGGGTCAACCGCACCCGACCCAATTTTTGAAATGAGTAGGTTTGTTGAACTAGAACATGACCCGTTTCATAAACGGGTTGACCATAACTTGAATTTTTCGGGTCGGATTTGAGTCATGCCAAATATTGACACACTAGTTATATGAGAGAAGGATTCAAAATATGAGTGATGAAACACATCAAGTATGAATCATTTGAGAGAATATTTTAAAAATAAATTTAGAAAAATCAATAATGAACTTAATTTAATAATTTATAGGTAAATGCTTTCATTTCAAATTTATTATTTTTTTTCAATTTTTTTTTAATTCAAATTGCATAGAAACTTATTGTAAATTAAATAAATATAATTAAATACAAATTAAGATTCAGTGGCCTTTCTTCTAGATGTAAAGAAGGAAGACTTTTAACAATTTTTATTTAAAAAAGAACGTTTAAAATAATTTTCTAATTTTTTTTATACTCATAATTTGCTTGTCCAAATATATTCACATCATTTTTAGTCAAAATAGATTAATAAAATCTCAATGTATTTAGGAAAATTATGAAACGCATTATATTTTTAAAAATAATGATTTAATTTATATTAATTTTATTTTGTTACATTAAATTGCGCGAATTTTTAGCATCCGATGGGAAATAAAATGCGAGTATATATAGATGTAGCGGGAGCCGCCCTGGCACTTTCGAAGTGTTTTCCCTTGGACCTCGTTGAGCGACAGTACGAAGTACCAGCTCGGAGGTGCGTGAGAGGGCCGACGAGTATGACTAAGCATTGTCCGACGAAGCTTGCCTACTTCGATGACATGCAGGCGCTCCAGTACCCCGCGATCTTTATCGCCTTCGAGCAGGTTTCAATCCGCTCTTGCCCCAACCTTTTGGCGCATTCATTTGAGGAAAACCCTAATTTATTCATTTCATGCTACTGGAATCCTATGTTTCGTAACTGTAGGTGGATGGCCGATTGGCGATGATCCTTGATTCCACCATTTTCCATCCTCAGGGTGGTGGGCAGCCGGCTGACAAAGGAGTCATTTACAGTTCTGGCTTTAGGTTCGTGGTGGAGGATGTCAGGTCCAACGATGGGGTGGTGAGAAATCTTGAATAATTATAAGAATATCATCTTTAATATGAACTTAGCAAGAGCCTATTATTATTTATTAGCATCTGTTTCTCTTATATTTTTGATCGCAATCGTAGAAAATAATAACCACTTTAGCAGTAACATGATCCGTGGAGTTATTTAGAACCAGAGTTTTAACAGATAAATCTGTTATAAAAATTTAAAGCTATCATGACCCGCAAGACCGGCTAATCCAATTCTAAACTATCCTTTACAATCATTAACCCTGGCATTATATATGTGATTAAAACTCCTAAAACAAAGCAGAATGACAAGCATGTTGGAGTGAGGTTCTCAAAATTTCATGCTATGCTTAAACCATATTACTCTCAATTGGAATCAACATTGATCTTTTTGACTTGATCTTCACATAAAATCAATTCATAGAGGGAGATTCTGATTGGGTATCATATTTTAGTTTCCAATATGATAAAATTTCACCAAAGATTTCATGTTGTATGTGCTTGTGCTCGACAAATGACTTCCTGTTTATGTGTGAAGATTAAGATTAGCGTTACAATATTTAAATATAAAAATATAAAAATTCAATTTGGCATAGCTGTTTGTATAGATGACAAGTTGGGTTTGTAGCCAATTGCTAGTCAAGGATTTTGGTGAAGTTTTAGATTAGGGCAA